GGGGGACGCGGCCCGCCTGCTCCGAGGGGCGCTGCGAGGCGGCCAAGCGGGCGCGGATCCGGCCGGGATCCCGACGCGGTGGAAGACGCCTCCTGGCCAGAAAGGCGGCCGATGCCGCCCCCGGGTGCCCTGCAGTCCCGTCTCCCGTTGTGAGCCGGGGGACGCCTCCCTGCCCGTCAACGTGGTACCGCCTGGTCTGGGTCGTTGCGTGACTTGAGTCGGTTGTGTGGTGTTAACTGCTGGTGCGAACCGTGACTCCGTTTAGCATCCGTGGAAGGGGCTCTCTCCGGACGACTGAACGCGCCGGGCCTTCGCCCAGGATGCGGGATGCAGGCTGCGTCAGCGGGCGCGCAAGGGAAGAGTCCGACTCTCGACGGGCCTGGCGGGCGCCTCAGAGCGCCCCTGGAAACGAGCGATCCGCGGAGTCTGCACCCCGTTTCCCGAGGGGGCAACGCCTGGAAGAGAGCCAGCGCCTGCCCGCCCAGCCGCCCCCGACTCTTCCGGAGGCGCCCCGCGCCCCCCCCCCCGGCTCTCGCGGGAGCAACCGGATTTCTGCCTGGCCCTTCTTTCCTTGCCCTCGATGACGAACAGGCCGTCCCTGTCGCGATTCTGTGCAGCCGCCTCCTGAATTCAAAGGGCCGAGCGCCTTAATCCTCTTCCTTGGGAGCCGCAGGAAAATTCCGGGAGTTCCTCCCGCTTAGCGTTCGGGCGGCCCGGGGCCCCTTCCGGCACCCCTTAAACCGCGGTGCGTTTCTGGCCGCGTCTGAAGGGGCACCAGGCGCTTGACGGGGGCCGGGGGTTGCTTTCACCACGCCCGATTAACAAGGGGAGCTGCGCGGAGAGAGGCCGGCCGGGAGAGCCCTTCGGGTGTGCCGCGCAGGCCGCCCAAACCGGGAGCGCGACGCTCGGCCCACCTGGCGCGGAATCCGGGGCGCCCTCGGCTGACACCGCTGAGACTGCAGGAAGACTCCACCAGATGACAATAACTCCCCAGCAAAAGGGACCAGCGTGGGTCGCTGAGCGGGCTTTTATTATGCCTTTAAGGCAAGCATCACTTGTCTTTACAGGGAAGAGGCAGAACGCCATCCAGGGCCCGGAGGGTGGAGGAGCGCAAAGGCACCGAAGCAAAGCTCAAGGAAACTCTGTAGGAATGGGGTGTCAGAACAGCCAAGAGGAGTCGGGGGTGGGGGGCGCAGGGTGCCAACAGTGGTAACTTTCCAGCTTCAGATGCGATCCCATTTTCTTTAAAAATTCTGCCCTTCCCATCGCATCCCCACCTTTCCTATCTCCCCAGGTTGCACTGTTGGAGGCATTTTTCTACCTATGCCAAGAATTTCTGCAGAAGCCAGCTATGCAAGTTTAATACTGTTGCACTACCAATGTAAAGAATACCAACCCCCCCAAAAAACCTGATTTTTTTTTTTTGTATTTATACAAAACTGTATCATTAAAGCAAAAACAGTCACCCTGATTTCATTCCCTATTCACACACATGGACATCCCAGAAATGGGGTGGGATGGGGTGGGAAACAACTCCTGCCGACACAACCGTCTACTTGTCCCCATAGAAATAAATCCAATCATCTTCTGTGGGATTTATTCCTAGGCAGAAAAGCAGAAGATTGCAATTCTGCTGCCTGTACACCCTGATTAAAGGTAGTTCTTATGCAGAAATCATCTAACTTAGCCATCTCTTCACTGAATTTAATTTTATGAATTGAAACTTTAGGTATTTTTTTAAGGGTGCTGGGGGAGAGGTCAAATTGGGTTGAAATACAGCTGTCTCATCACGGTAACAGTACTTTATACAATCCTGGCAGTTTCACAATTGACATGTGTATTGTACACTAAGAAATGGAAGGATCCAAAGTAAACTCAAAAATATAAATTCAAATGTGGACTATTTTTAATTTTTGAGTTAAACATTGTTCAAAGTGTCTCATGGATGGGTTTGACACCCAAGAGTGCAAGAAACACAAGCACCCGTTGGATTTTTCTTGCAGAAAGAAAGCAAGTCTTCCCCTAATTTCTGGAAAAGATTTGGGGAAAAAAAAGATTCCCAAAGGTTGGGGGGAGCCATGCCATCACTCTACCAAGGAAAACTCCAAAACAGGGTTTGTTCCTGCAATAAGCTTTCGTTCTGGGGTCAGGAGGTCAATGAAGGGTGTGTGGGTGGAGGAAGAGGATCTCTTATTTACAGTATGTACTAAGCAGAAAAAGAGGAGTGTCTCAACAGAGGTAAAGGCAGTTTGCTAGATTTCAGTTCCCTAAAAGATGTCCAGCTAGGTGATGTTGGGTGATCTCAAAATGCTAAGCCAAGCCAGACCTGGTCTGTACGTGAATGGAAGTCCCACGGCTGTGGTTTACAGTCGGAAATCCACATGGCTGCCCCAAACGCACCACGAACATCTCCATGAAGTCTTGAGCAAAACTGGAACAACAACTTGTGCTAAGAGATGGGATCAACCCCCCTGCCAATGACTTCAGTCCAGTGGAAGTCCGGACAGCTTGCGCCCGATTAAAGTTCCCGTGGTACATTGTTTGGACAAACAAATTTGCTTTTTAAGGGACCGCAGTTTCCAAAGACGACTGGTGTTTGCAGACAGGCAGCAACATCCAGTGGGTTGTCATCCCTTCCAACGTCCATAGTCAATAGAAAAGAGATGGGTGGCGATGTTTCCTCCCGGGGTCATTTGTTCACGGAGGCAGAGTCCGGTTGGGATCAAGGCCCCCGGATGTCTGAACTCCAACTGGGAATTCCTGAGTCTAACAACTAGACAGGAAGAATGGAAGGGATGGGGGACTCGGAAGGCCTTCCTTGTGGATGGCGGCGTCCTTTTTTGGGGAGCCTCGTGACCCTTCAGGAAGGAAAACGGAGGCAGGAAAGTTGGTGGACTGAGCGCCCAAGGACCCGTGCGAGGCATCGTCTGCCTCCGTGGAGAGTGGTTCTTCATCTGGGCCTGGTTTCTTCCTTCCTGGGTTTTGGCCAGAGGCTGGAGTTCCCAGGCAAGGCCGGACAGGAGATAGCTGGCGTCCTGCGCCCCACACGCGGCCAGCGCTCCCGCAGACACTACATTGCCCCCCGTCCCTTGGAGGATCTCAGCAGGCAGAAGATGCTCATTAAGCTGCCCAGGAGGATGGCGACGAACAAGAGGATGAGGCCGACCCAAGGGCCGAAGCTGGAGCTCTTCCGGAAGCTGGGCTCTTCTGCCGGGATCATGTTGGTGAGATTTAGCATGTAGCCCAGGGCCCAGCCAATGGTCGTGTCCCCGGCCTGCAAAAGCAAGAAAACCCATTGCACAAAGACTCTGTCAGGCCCAACCCTGAGCCTCGGCCCGCCCGCCCAATCCGGCGGCTGCTCTCAGGACGTGGGGACCCCAGCCAGCCGGGGCCGGTCCACTGCAGTCCCCTGGTTAGCAGCTGTTTGGCCTCCCTCCCCTTGCAAAGCAGGCCAGAAAAGCTTTACCTTCTGCTGGAAGGCAATGGTGGGGAAAGTGCTGTTGCTGAAAGAGTAGCCCCGTGTGAGCAGCAGCGAGACGAAGGTGGCCATCGAGCAGTAATTCTGCAAATGGGTCTCCAGTTTCGGCGCTTTCTTAAGGAGCTGGAGGGGCAGAAAGAAATGCTGGGGCTGAGTTCTGACTTTATTTACCTCTCCTCCCCCTTAATGGCTGAGAGAGAAGATGATTCATCATCCACAATGAATTCTTTCACAATTATTCATTCCAACTTCAAAGGGCTTCATCTGCAGTTTGTCCTTGGCCAGGCCACATTGTGAGGGGCTGCCTTCTCAAAATCCTCCTGGGGACTCCCCACTGACTGCTGCTCTTCCTCTCTGCTTATCCTTAAGGGGCTAAACCTTTTTTCTCTCTTGCATTGCTGCAGATTGCCTTTACTGGCGGGCTGCGTCCCAAACCCCAAGATCCTCTGATAAAGGGCAGTTAAACATGCTTGGTCTCTTCCACCCCAAACATTAGAGTAGAAACAAACATGGTATTCATTTTAGATATGAATTATGTTCATTTCCTTCTTCTGCAGGTACTTCAAGGAAATGTCCACGATCCAATCTCCCCCTTTTTTTAATTCTCCCAACAGACCTGTGAGATAGACCTGGTTTAGAGATGGCAAGAGACCAGAGGACACCCATGAAGCTGCCAGCTCTTGTCCTGCACATGAACCGCTGCACTCTCAATTTCAGTTCAGGTTTAAACCCATTTTTTATAAAAATCTTTCAGGTGTTTGTTCTAGGGGGAAAAAACCCCACCCGCAACGACGTGTCTAGCAAAGCTGAATTTGCCCCTGGTTGTATTAGTGAAGGAGGATCCTGGGGGACAAACCCACCTCGGTCCATGTTGTACTGCAGATGTCCCCCGCAGCTTCTCTGAGGTCATCTGGCGTGGCCACCGGTCTGTTCATCACTGACCGGATGAAGTCCACCGTGTAGAAAAATGCAGAGAAGGCCTATTATGGAAGAAGAAACGGGGGAAAGACAAAATCACTTAAGGTCCTTATACCCGATCTGCTGCAGTGATATTACCACTGGGATTGATCCAGCGCATTTGTTAAAAACGGTTAAACATATATGATAATCTATGTCATTTCTATTTCAGAAGCGGGGGGAGAGGCAGTGCTGACCCAAACTGAACTCTCTTAAAAAATGAAGCAGGGTGGATCTGGTCCTTCCACCAGGTCCTGTGGGTTGCAGCGGCTGGCGTTTGCAGCCTTGCACAGAGCTGCGCTGTAGCTGAAACTGGGAAGTTGCAAAAGAATCCGAAAAGCCACGGTGCGCCCACTTCTGTGTTGCTGCCGTAGACGCGAATCAAGTCACCAACTTGAAGGAGACTTGACTTTATAAAACACGAAAGCTGAGCCAGGCAACACAGGCCAGACTGGAGTGAAATGGAAGACAACTGAAGTGAGGTGAAGTGAAGTGAGGTGAAGTGAAGTGAAGCAAGGAATCAATAAGTAGTGAGAGCACGCCCAGCCCCAAGCCGAACGGGAAAAGGGGTGCCATGCCACTCGTCTCCAGCAGGGGGCAGCAGCGCTCCTTCCTTGCAGAGGGGAAAGAGAGGAAGCCAGCGTTGCTGCTGCGTTTGGGCTCAGGGGGACCCTCCCAGCAGGGTCTGTGCAATTTGCTGGGGAAGGGGAACAAGCCATGCCTGCACAGGAGACCCTCTGAGCTAGGCATCCTTCCTTGGAGGGGTGGGTTGCAGCGGCTGGCGTTTACAGCGTTGCACAGAGCTGCACTCCCAACGTATCCGAGACGCTTCCCTCACCAGAATCCGGTGGAGACCCCGAGCAGCAGGTTCTGGAGGCCCTGCCTGCCTCCTCTGCTTTTTTTTGCAGGGCCCCAACTCCCTCCGGGCCCCATTTTGATCCCCGTGCCTTTTGCCCCTTCAGCGCAATGGCACAGGGAACAGGAACGCGTGGAGAAAGAGGGAAGAATCGTCGGCAGCTATTCTAACCGGGTATCGCCCGGCCCACGGACGCTCTGACCCCTCCGACCCTTGTGGGGGGGCAGCAGCAGAAAGGCCCACGCTCTGGGCCCGCTGCTTCTGTCCCAGCGGCGGCAACGAGACTCACGATAAAGTTTCCCTCGATGGGGGGCTGGAAGACTCGGTCAAAGGAGCAGCGGGAGTAGGGGCAGTCCGTGAACTGGAAGAGGCTCTCCGCGTGCAGCAAGCATTGGGCTGCGTCCCCAGAGCCGCTCATGTTCACCATGGCCTTGGGGAAGTAGTTGGTGGGCTTCTCGGGGCTGGCGCAGGGAGACCCGTAGACGCTTTCCATGGGGAAGCTGCGCTTGAAGCCCTGTGGCCAGCAGGGGTTGCTCACTCGGAGGGTGTAGCCGTTCGCCTGCGCAGGGAGAAATCGCAGGGAGAGAAATGGTGAAGCAGGAGAGAAGGCTAAGTGCCCCCCATGGCGTTTGCCATCCCCAGGATGGCGGGCGAGTCCCGTCCCCGCTGAAGGAAGGCAACTGAAATGGAGCAGAGATTCCAGCACTGAGGGGCTGCAGGAAGGCCGCCTCCGCCCTCCCCATCTCCTAGGGACACGGGACTCTGCGCCTCTGCCGTGTCGTGCAGCAGGCTGCTTCGGGCCACTGGGGACATTAAACCAGTCCTGCAAGGCACCTGCTGCAGCCTGGTTGCCAGAGAGCCAAAAGGAGGGCACCGCCTGCATCTGAGAGCCACCGGGACTGCCTTCCAGCTTAAAGACAGGCCGGGCCCTGTCTGGCAGGTTGATGCAAAACGACCGGATCGGGGGTCCCCTTCAAACACACCCCATTGCCCCATCTCTCCTCAGTGGCCCTGCTTCAGCTCTTGAGCTCTTCAACTCTCTCCACAGGAGCAACCAGAGGCTGCGTCGCACGTGCCGGAAGTTCTCCCGCCCGGAAAGTGCTCCTGCCGGGATCTGGGGTGCCCAGAGGGTGGCCCTGGGGTCCGGATCTCAACCCTCGCTCCGCCAGGGCTTCCACTGCACGGGACATCCTGTGCCGTGGGGGGCCCCGTGCAACACCCCCCGCGGGAACGTTTGTCGGCTGCAGGAGCCAATCCCCACCGAGTGGGCCCTATAAAAACGGAGCCTTGGCCCCGCGGCTCACTCCCTGCGCTTCTGCCCTCGGCCCCCCGCTCCTGCCCAGGGGCGCACCTTCAGGACCTTGGAGACCAGCCGGTTGAGGACCTCATTCATGCCGTAGCAGAGGAAGCTGTGCGTGTACACTTTGTAGGGTTGCCCGTACAGCTTCAGCGTCACCTCGTTGGTGGGGCTCTCGATTGTCCCCGTGGTCTCGAAGGTGATCTGGGTGGAGGCGCCGCCCAGGTCCATGGCGCCCACCGTCTTTTTCTTTGGGCGAATCCACCGCCCGATCCACCCGTACTGGAAAGAGAAGACACGGCAGGGCCCCCAGAGCTCTCTCTCGGCTCCGTATTTTAACTGAAGGCTTTGGCAGCATTCAGGACCCTGGGGCTGTCCAAATTTCACTTCTCCTCCTGCAAAGCGCTTCCTCCCCCTAGGGCTCCAAACTGCAGAGCGTGCCCTGCACTCCTCCTTTCCCTCAGGAGGCAGGCAGAGGGACAGTATTTGGGGCCAAATTGGGCCTAACTTCAGTGACCTCAGCGAAGCTAAACCAATGGCCCAATGGGTTGTGCCCTTGCTGTGCCGTCAGAGCAAGGCGGCCCAGTTGCACGCGGCTCAGAGGAAGAGGCGTAAGGAAGAGAATTTCCAGGGGGCTTCACTCCGTATTTGCCCAGAGCCCCGGTTAAAAGCAAGGCTAGGACTGGCCGGAAGCAAATCGGTCCTACCTTTATGAAGTTCTCCAGGAGGTAGTTAGCGGTGACCCACCCGAATAAGCCCTCATCCTCTCCACTCAGAATCCTGGCTCCCCGGAAGTCAAAGGGGTATTGCTTCAGCGTGGCAGTGACAGCTTCGAGGACACTGTCTGAAGCCTGAGGGTCAAAAATGCTACACACACACACACACACTTAAATACTTCACGATTTGGACCAGGGGTCTAAATTGACTCTAGGGATCTCTCTGAATGTGCCCTTTTAGCTAGCTGACACTGCACTCGTAGGTTCACACACAAGTGTTAACCCGGTTCTGTTTGAGGTCTCGTGGCTGCCAGGCTGGGCCACCCCCCACCCTTTGCGCGATTTGGCATATTGTGTGATTCTCCCCCATCTGGCTAGTTTAATGTTTCCATGAATCGTGAGTCCAGAAAATGAATTCAGCTGGTAACCAGGAAGAGTTTTATGCGAACATCAGCAGTGCAGACAAGCCAGTTTGCCTGGAGAAGCCAGCCCTGCTGACCTGCACGAGCCTTATAATGTTTCCTTAGCAAAAATATCCACATCGCTGGAGCCCGTGCAGTGAGGAATTTCTGACCCAGGCACGTGCGTTTGCCTCCTCCTCGGACAGGGATCGGCCCCGGGAACCGAAGAAACTGAGGCACTAAGAAGCTTTGGGGGGAACGAACCGAAGAGGAGGAGATCTTGGCATCACTGAAAGAGCACAAAATGGGTACAAAACTCACCCGGGAGCTGAAAGGGCACAGGGGCACTTCTACAGCCTGAAGGCAGGAAAAGACTGACCCTCACTCAAAGATCTTGCAAGAACTTAGGAGCTGTGGCACCAAACGACCATTTTGTTCATCCTCGCTACCTACTGATAATCTTCCCCTTCCACGGCTTATTTCACCCCCACCCACCCCGGGTCTTTCTCACCTCCAGCACCAGCTCAGCTTAACTCAATCCTCCCTCCTCAGGACTCTCTATCCAATGAAGGGGAGGGTGATTCACCAACTTTACGCAACAGGAAATGTGTTAATGTTTGCAGCGTGACCCAATTCTTTGCTGCTTTTGTTGCAAAAAAATAATGGGGCTGCTGTCTCGCTGGGAAGGGCAATCCGGGGAGGGCAGTGGGCACCCCGGGACAGGATATAACCCAAGGGGGGGATTGGTGCTGGGCCAGGAATGGACTGATGGCCCAACCCAGCCTCCCAGATGCCCGGGGAGAGTCTCCACTGGGGCTGGAGGTCAGTCAGGCCTTACTTGAGCAGCCGCATGCCAGCCGTGGCTCCAAGGTAGAGGGGCGTGATGGCATGCCTCGCCTTCGGGACGTCCTCCAGGGCCTGGTCGAGGCACGCGCGCAAGCTTTGCCCGGCTGCCGGAGGGTCTGTGGCGTAGCTGGAGATGCCTCCCCCTGCAAAGCCATCAGCCGTGAGTCCCCGGCCAGGAGGATCCCTGCCCGGGCCAGGGTGGGCCTGCCTAGCGTGCAGAGCGGTGGGGGCTTCTCTATAACGCCAGGTGCTGAGGGGGTCAAGACGTTCTTCAGTGCCTGGCAGAAACGCGTGGGCGGGAGGTCGCTGATTCAGGCACGGCTAGGCTCATCCCGGATTTTGTTCTGGCATTGCCTTCTCCTGATGTGCTCCCCGTGCTGGGAATTCAGTCCCAGACATCTGAAAAAGGCAAGACTGGGGAAGACCGCTGAGGCCTCTGGTTGCCTCTTGCAAGAGCCCCCCCCAAACCTTGCCAGCTGCCCAAACAAAGGCCAGGATTAGGTTGCCACTGGGGCATGGCAAAGCCGGCTCCATGCCTGGCACACCCTCTACCAGGGACAGTTCCTGTTCTCACGGGCCGTTTGACAAGCACCTGGCCCCCTGCCAGGCCATGCCCGCGCACTCGCCCCCCCAGAGGACCCCACAGGTCTTTCTTTCCAGCAGCTGCCACAGGTCTTAAACCAGGTGGGTCGTGCCAGTTCTTTGTCTGATAACCATGGGAAAAAAGGAACGGACAAAGGAGAAGAGGGAGCCTGCCAAAACCCCATTGTTCTGCCAGTGCTGTTGTACAAAACGCAGAATGGAAGCCTGGACTGGCAGCGAGACTCTGCCAGCTCTAAGTCACCCTGAACGTCGGCTTGCCCGGGCACAAGATCGAACAAGCCCCTTGCCCCTTGACAAGCCTGCCCAAACGGGGCTTTCCCAGGCCTGCCGCCAACACGTCTCTGCCCACGGGTGGCATCTCGAGCGGCCCTGGGTTTCGAAAAGGAAGAGAGACTCTCTCTGGGCCTGGCGTCTCCCGGCTGCTGGGGACGAAGGGACCCCTGTCCAACATTTTGGGAGGGCGCCCATTGGGGAAGCGCCTCTTGTTTTCACCCTGCACACCGTCCCACTGCGGAGGCTGTTTGCCACACCCCTTGGTGAGTCCTTGCTCCCTCTCCGCCTCTGGGGCTCGGTACATCCCACCTCGGGGTCCCACGTGCCTCCATTCCAAAGCAGGGATAAGAGATGGCAGTGACCTTCAGAGGAGGCGGACTGGGGCATCCCTGCATGAGTTCCTGAACCTTCTCTCCAGGAGCTCCCGTGCTTATCTTATAGCTGCTGGGGGAGGGGACAACGATTCGTGTCCCTGTTTTTAAGTCAGAGGAAGGCGGCCGCCATGAAGATACCAGGTTTATTTATATCCTGCCTTTGCTTCAGACGCTCGAGTTAGCCTCCTCCCAATTCCCCCCCTGCAAGGTAGGCTGGGCTCAGTGCAGAAGCAGCCCTGTCTCTGCGAGGACAAACAGTTCCCTCCCGCGAACGATGTGGGGGGCAGCGGGACCCCTGAATTCTGCCTACCCTTCACGTGGCAGTCGCTGTGCTGGCTGACGATCCCGGTCTCGTTCTCCTTGTCGGACGGCCACTTGTAGACAAACATGGCCGTGTGGGAGGACCCCGCATCCAGAACGATCCCAAACTGCACGGAAGGAGAAGGAGAAGAAAGAGGGAGGGCGGTTGGGAACGTCAGTCGGATCCCCAGTTCTGGCCAAAGACGCGCTGGGCAGCCAGGGGACGGGACCGCAAGGTGACGTCTGTCGCTCGCCAACCAACCGCCTCGCAGGGCCGCCGGGAACTCCAAGCGGGGTGAGAACTCCCACTTTTCTTGGTCAGAGAAACAGCGCAGAAAATATTAACACCCACACACCCACAAATGGTTTCCGTGTGCCCACAAAATGCTTAGAGCGGCAAGGCGTGTCGTCAGAATTTGACACGCTCGTGGTCTCTGGGTGGGTTGGACTGCTTTTGCTGAAGGGGGGTGGAATTACCTTTAGTTGGCAGCCCTCTGGCACCCTTAAGGAACGCTTGCCAGCCCCACCCACCCAGCCCGGAGCCCCTCCCCAAATCAAGGTTACATCTGAGTCTTTCCTGTCTGGAGATTCCCCCCACGTTATGTGCCCCCATCCCCATTTGGCTGGGAACATCCCGACCCGACTGTGCACCCCCGCACTTTCTCTCTTGTAGAGCTACTCTGCAGGGTTGCTGTGAGGAAAAGCAGAGGCGGGGAGAAGGATTGCGTACGCCACTCTGCGCAGCCAGGTGACACAATCACGTACCTGAACAAAACATAACACAAGAACAGCCGGGAAAATAGTCCCACCTAACGGACACCAGGAGCCTCTGGGCATGGGCGGAGCACCCTCATCCCCCTCTGGACTGAGCTGCCCAGGGCCAGGGAGCAAAAAATCTACCAGCCCGTGCCTTTTGAGGCACCTTTGCCCTGGCCAGCCGCACCCCACGCCCGTGTCCCGCTTTAAGCGCAGCAGTCCCATCAGGCGCAGCAGAGTCTCCCGGTGGGGGCAAGGCGGCTGCTGGGGAGCCCAGGCCGAGCGGAGCAGCACCTGCCCTCTCCGGGGGGAGGTGGGCGGCATATTAAATAAATAAATAAATACATACATACATACATACGGCCTTCTGGACACCTAGGGATTTCCTAGTCAACCCTTCCAAAGATCTCCGCCCAAGGAGCATCTTCCGAAGAGGGGCGACCACTGTTACCCCCCACCTCGTTCCCTACTAGGCAAATAGGGGGGCGGCAGGCACACCGCTGGCTTTGGGGAAATGGCGGACTCACACAGCCCTTCTGCGATCTCACGGTCCTTCTGAAAGGCTCCTTGGCACGTCTGCCAGAGGGCAGAAACGCAAGATTTAGGCTTCGGTTGCCCCACCATCCCGCAGCAAGAAGCGCAGGAGAACGAGAGATTTGGAGAGCCGGCACGGTTCGGCCTTTGAGCTTTGAGCCACGGTAGCCGACTGCATTCCCGCAACGGGCGAAGCCGTGAGCCACGTTTGACAAGCCACGGGCTGAAGACCCCCAAACCAAAGCAGAGGCCTTCTAGCGCAGCACAGCGGAGCAAGCCACCCCGCTTCTAGTCACGCCCCTCGCTCTCCCTGCATCCGCCCAGGCGGAGCAAAGTCCTGCCACCCACATCGCACCTCCGAGGCTGCAAAAAGCTGTCCAGATGTAGGTTTTGCTGCTAGGCCTCTTCTGGGTTGTGCAACTGGTTTCCTGTAGTCGCCTGATGGTGCAATCCCAAGCTTTTCCACTTGACTCGACTTGAGGCGTGTGGCGGGCGTGATCTCTCCTCTTCTCTGGTTGCAAGGTCGGGGCACCTTGCAAGCAAACAACTCTGCTTTCAAGATGTGGCGGGGGAGACACCCGGAGCAGACAGGGGAGCCCACTTCCTCCAAGCTGCAGCCGAGCAAGGCTGCCCCCATGCCCACCTGCTTGGGCTCCTCTCCTCTTCCCCTTCCCCGTCCCCTGGCCAGGGTGCATCCTGCAGAATCCTCCACCTCACTTTGCCTGGCACCCCGGGAAGCCAAGCAGGTCCCCCGGCTACGTGGGGCGAGGCTAGAACTGCCCTGTTGCCTTTCCCTTAAGCTCCTTCGTGGCACTGGGCCACCAAACCTTCCGGGTCTCTCCCCCCACTTCACCAGCCACAGTTCCACCACCAAGAGAGCCCTTGACCACAGAGAGAAATTCTGCCACAGCTGGCACAAAGCACCTCTCGGGAATGGAGAGTTTGGCTCGAGCAACAGAAGACGAGGCGCAACATCGGCCAGCCACAGCGCGCGGGGCAGAGCGGGATGCGGTGCTTTTGTGCGGGGGGGGGGGAACCTGACAGCCACTGTTCGTCCCAAGAGTCTGCAGCTCTGAAGCCCCCAAAGACGGCGGGGGGGGGGCCCTTCTCCCACCGGGCGCTTTCCAAAGGCTCCAAACTCTGGGTGGCGCAGAGCCCACGCAAATGACACCTTTGTGATTTTGGCATTTGCTGGAGGGAACGAAGCAACAATTGGCTCAATACGCATGATCTCTAGTGCACGTGTATTATCCTAGCCATGCACAGGAAACCTGGACAGCCTGACTCTTAGTCAGAACTGGCAGAGGCCATGCTAAATATTTTTCCAAGACTCTCATTTACAGCTCCAGGTGGAGAAATTTGCAGGGCGAGACTCGCTAGTTCACTACAAGCAACGACTTGATCAGCCTCCAGAGACCGCCTGTCCAGCACGCCAGCAAGCAACAAAATCAAAACAAATACTATAATTTGGCAGCGAGGTTTCAGCTCCCGGCAAAGAGGCTTACTCGGGTGGCGCCTTGCTCTCCTCTGCCAGCACTTCTCGCCCCAGACGGGAAGCCCCCTCCCAGACCTAATCAAGAACAAGGGACCCCCAGGTCGCTGTGTGGTGCGGAGACTGAGATCACGATGAGAAAAGGCACCGAGGAGCCATGGAAAAGAGCACTGTGCCTCTCACTTCTGAGCTGAAGTTCCCCCCCCCCGAAGACTCCAATACCTCCACCCTTCACACTCGCCTGTGTTTGCTCTCAGATCTTTTAGGTCCTGGCCTTCCCCACGATTGTGATGGGCAGACCTTCCTATCCTTGGGAAGTCCTGCCAGGCTCCCCCCACCCACCTGGCTCTTTCTCCTGGTTAAAAACCACGTCTCTTTCACCCAAGACTTCATTTTCTGCAGCAGGAAACCTCTTCCCGTCCCTGGGCCCTGAGGAATTCCTCCCCCCCACCCCCCCCCCCCCCCCCCGCTCAGCCTGGTGCAGCCTCTGCTTGAAAACCAGGGCATCTTCTCCAAACCAATCCTTGGCTGCTCTAATCCCCCCCACCTCCTACATCGGCCGTCTTCCCTATCTGGTACCCCCTCTGCTTAACCCAGGGAGCCTTTAATTGTCAAACTGGATGGTGGAATTTCAACAGGAGAGCGTTTGCACCCCCGTGGTCTAGTCATTCCAGCCTTAAACGCTTTGGGAGATTTCCCTCTCCCCAAACCCGCCTCCCCCCACCGGAAGCTGCACCGGTTGAGCCACAATCTGCATTCCGGAGGAGCAGATGGAATGTTTGACAACATTCCGAGGCTTCGAAAGAGAGGCATGAATTGGGGAGGGGGGTGGATTCCGGCTGGGACCTCCGACAAGCAGATCAGCCTGCAGCAGAGAGGGAAAAGGAACTGGAGAACTGACCTGGCCTATTCGGCCTCCTAAATCTGTACGTCGGTTACATTCCTTAGAGCCCGATCGGTTGGGTTAGTTGCACCAATCTGTGTTTTCCCACAACCCTTGGCTGTTCTCACCCAAAAGAGACCATTAAACGTCAGTTTGTGTTCTCTGCTTGTCTGACATTAATCTGCACGTTCTGCTACTTGCCCCCTTTGAAGCTTAACTTTAATTCCCCTGGAGACCCTTTGCTACCGACACCCACCCGCTCAAGGAGCCTACGTTATCTTTGCAAAATATTTCCCCATCAGCCAGGAGACGTGGCACCCAAGTCTCGACAGCCTCTGCAACAGAGATGGGTGGGGTTCCCCACCCGCAGCCAGGAACACCATGCAGATGCCAGGGGAGAAGGTAAGGCTGCAAATCTGGAGGGCGGAGGCGGTTCTGCTGGGGAGACGTACAACCCTTCAGCACCAGAGTGCTTGCCAGACGTGCAAATCGTAGCCGCAGAATATCTCAGGAAGCCTAATCCAGCTTTCCTTCGCACCACGCTCAACTAAAAAATTACAAGCTGAACCATCAAGAAATTTGCTCAATGTCACTTGCGTGCCCTGGCAACTGAGTTGGCCACAACCGCTGCCTCTTCTGGCAATGAATTCCACGGGTTAGCTGTGCCATGTGACCCGGGTGCCTTCTCTCCCTCTGTTCTCAGGCCTCCATCAACCAACTTCTGGGCTCTTCTCTTCTGAGAGGAGGAAGAAGGCGACTCTGCACGTTAGAAGACTCGGGGACCGAACACTCTTTCAGCGGCCCTTTCAGGCCCCCCTCCCTCCAGCAGCAGCCACTGACTCTGAGCCATTGTTTGGTCAAAGCAATCCAGGCGAGAGAAGGTAACACCCGGTTCTGAGTGCCACCGTTTAATTGCAAGGACCTGGAACCCAAGCCCCAAACGCAGGCAGTAACTGAGTCACCCTCCCTCGCGCACGACTTCCACTCCTCTCTTGCTGGAGTGGCGCTGAGTTGGCAATGCCAAGGCCCACAGCCTCAGCGGGTGGAAGTTCTTGAGCACTCCAGGGTGAAGCTGCTAGATGGAGGAGATCTGGCACGAGGGGAAGCCAGTTGGACGTCGCCAGGTGAGGATCTGCCGGTAACCTCCTCCCCTTGAAGCTTGCATCTCCCCGGGGAAAAGAAATGCCTCCCCTTGAGCGCACCCCACCCGAAGGGACTACCCGAATCACCCGGAAAGCTTCGCCCTGCACGGGGAAATGCACAACCCCAGTGCTGGGAAGACGGGAGGCCCCCTCCCTGGACTCCAGAGGAGAACGTTCTTCCCTTTGAAAATAAATAGACGGGAAGAGCCTGCAAGAGACAGCGTGTGAGAACTGCTTGCTCCCATCCCACAGAAGACCAGCCCCTCGATCGCTTGGAGAAGTCCTGGCACACCATGGGCGGCTCTTCTCTCCTGGCAGAGCCTCAACAGCATGTGAGCGGCCTCTGAAAGAGGGAGTCAGGATTTTCTAGAATACGCTCTGCAGCCTTGCAGCGTCCTAATATGACCCTCTACTGTTTTAATCTCTTCTCCTTCTCCTTCCTCTTCTCCTCCTCCTCCTCCTCCTTCTCACTGCCACCATCGTAAAACTCTTGGGTTGCTCCCAATGTCGCATCACCCAAGGCGACGCATGATGCTGTGCTGCTTCCACTGCACATCGCTTCATCCTACGGGCCTCCGGGAAGCCGATCCTTTGGAGAGTCGCCAGAAACTTAATGCTCCTGCAATATCTGTGTTCCCTGACAGTTATTTCAGTGAGCCCAGGAGGAGGTGCACATTAAAACCATTCCAAGCCAACAAAATGTCTTGGCCCTGGACCAGTTCTCCAAGGAGACTGCCCCCGAAATGTGCAGGTTTGCCTTGACTCACGCAGAGCCCTTGCCAGCTCCCTTGCGGGGGGGGGGGGTTTGGGGCAGAGGTCTCTGCCGACCAGCTGCCCCTGAGGTGCACATCAGGAGCCTCTCTAACCTCCCAAAGGCTTGGCGGCACTTCTCAGGACGAGCCCTTTGGAATTCGGAGTCGGAGAATCTGATAGGAACGGGTCGGTGCTTCGGGACTCCGACGACACCCTCTCCGCTGTTGGCTGGCCTGAGGCTGCGCTGTCCCCTGCTTTTACAGCTGGTGCCTCGTGGCCGCCCATCCCGTTCCCAGCCTCAACTCTTAATTCTCTCTCCAGAGCCCTGAGAAGAGACAAATGTACAAATGCATTTTCTTTGAAGCACAGGCAATAAAATGCCGAAGTTGTTCATTGTCTTGTTCCAGGGCTTTCTGTGGAAGAAGGCAATGAAGTCACACTTGGCACCTTCACAGGAGGCCCCGCAGAGCTCAGCTCAAGGAAAAGAGAACGCGCTTCCGTGGCTCCTCACGTGGCCCAGAGCCTCCCATAAACAGCCTTGAGGACTGCCTGGAAGAGGAACCGGTGGGGGAGGGAGCAGGGGGTCTGGGGTCCTTGGAGAGACTGAAATGCAAGGAGGGGAGGGGGTCCTGGGAAGGCAGGTATTAGAGGTTTTGCTCATGGGAAAGGTAGCCTTCTAGCTGGAAGTTCTTGGGTGGAAGTCTCCCCAGATTACGTGCGAATGCTCCCACCTTCCCAAGACAGAGCTTTTCAGCACGACTAAATCCTGACTCAGCCTGCAGGGGAAAATCCAAACAATAAATGGGAATTGGTCACAGGGAAGAGAAAGATGCTTCAAGCAGCCTGAGAGGGTCCTGACTTGGAAGCCCACCCAGATAAATCCAGGGACTTAATTCCAAGCAAGCAGGCCAGGCCATTAGCGATGGCCCCACGAAAGCCCTGGGACGTCCCCCCAACTTTTCCCAGCTGTTCATCGGCCAGAGCCAAGACCCTTCATGGCTTCTGCACGGAAGGGAAGGAGGCTGCCCGAGCACTGGAATCTGGGCCCCACTGAGCAAAGCTGATCTCCCGCATTTCAAAGCACTGACAAACGGCCTAGGCAGGGCCCTCAAGAAATGTAAGAAGTGCCAGGCGTGGGAGGCACAACCAGGGTGTGGCATCCCAAGGACAAGCATGGTCCTCCAGCTGCACACATGGTGGGGAAAGAGCATGTTCCTGTTCCCCACGTGCACCACCCTGACAAGGTTTCCACCTGCCCACCCTACACCCTCGGGCAGCCCAAGGCAGAGGAAACCAGCTCCTGAAGGAAACGCAGTTTGCCCCACAGTTTCTCTGGGTCCCTTGCCCCACCCTGTCCCTTGCTATTT